AATTATTATTATATAAAATTATTTGATTTTTGTAAAAGGCAATATCGAATTAAATTAATCGAATTCTTTCAACTAGACAGATGCAAATCTTATTGTTAGATTACTATTCGAATTCGATTAATTTAATTCGATATTGCTTTTTACAAAAATAAAATAATTTTATATAATAATAATTTAATTTTATATCATAATTTTAATTGCGATTTCCATAAGAATTTTCCTATATATATATATATAATAGTCACTGTGTTTACCGTAAAAAAAAAAACTTTTAGTACAAAAATTGACAAAACACTCAGCCAACTCTGCAAAACATTTATAATTGATGCATTTTATTTAAATTCCATTGATATGGGCGCAAACTTACAATTGATAGAGCTCGCGGCTCTAGTCGGTTTTCCGTCGTTATTTATGTAAGCGCACACACAAGTCTCCGCTGTGCTCGTGATTCACAGAAACGCGAGCGCGTTCAGAAGCGTCTACGCAAATTTACAGATTGCGTGCTTTCTCGCGCAAACTTTCACGTTTTATTCGCACACCGAAATTCGAAGAAAACAAGAACACCCACAGCGCGCGAAAAGACACACAATTAATATCACCAAGGAAGCGCACGTTTCTTCCTGAGGAGGAGGAAGGGGACACATCCACGAGTAAAGCTGTCGCTTTAAAACGCGGATACACACGCGTGCAAAGCGAAACTGGGGAGGATCAACGTGAGAATATATTAATATATCTCCATCATCGAAGAGGCGGGCACGTTGCGCTCGGCCACGCACCTCGAACAATTTCACGACTGATCCACCGTGTTCGGTGCACTGTTTGCTCGTCTGCAGTATTTATAAAACACGAACCGGAAAGCGCGGCTGGCGAGCTGTTCTTGGCGTCTTGCCTTAGTTTGCCCGCGCGCGTGCTAAGGGCGCGCATCGCGTTGTATAGTCTCTTAGTTGGTGAACCAACTAATAGCGTTTTCGAATGAAGCAAATTTGATCGCTCCGAGAGCGATTAATGACGTCATAAAATCCGTCTTGGATTACTAGAGATATTTGGATTATTAAATTAATCAATGAAATACTTTGAGTAAGCGTCTGATTGATTAGTCAGGGCAAGAAGTCTTGTACTTTAAAGTCAAAATAGCGTTAAACGAGATGCATTTTATGTTATTTATATTATTAATATATTATTTATATTAATCAGATTCAGAACCTATTTTCGGTCAAACATATGTTCATAGAAAATTGAATTTAATCGCTCTCAGAGCGATCAAACCTTGCTTCACTCGAAAACGCTATAAACTCTTCTATGGGTCAGTCCTGGACTCGGATCCCGGATTTAATATAATCGAATCATGTTTTGAATTACAATGAAACCCATGATTCAGACAGAACAAAGTAGACCTTAGTCAAAGTTAAAATCTAAAAGCGACTGGTTCATGTGTTTTAACCGGCTTCAAAAACTCTTATGCGAGCATCCACAATTATAATATTACAAATATAAATATAAGGAGCTTACACTGAATAGAAATAAACGTCAAAGTTATTTTTTATGAGCCATGTGAGACTGTAAGGTCTGTGATTTGCATTTAATTTATGTACGAGAATAATTGTGCAAGGGAAAACACGTAAGAAGAATAAAGTGAAGATTACTTTTGTATAATTTCACTTGGGGAATCTCTTTTATGACTGCATAGAATGTATAATGTCTGTGATAATTATTACAATATAAAAAATTAATAGTTTTTTTCCCAAAATTAATTTTTTATGATTTGCACTTGATATCCATAAATTTTTAGCGCTTTAGTTGTAATACTAATGCAACAATTTTTTCACAATCTCTCTTATATATATATGATGAATAGATTCTGCATGAGATTTATGAACACAAAAAATTTTTGCATCGCTCACGGATGGTTTCCGTATCATCGATATATTTATTTTACATTCTACATACATGATATACGAATTTATAAGCGAGCAATGAAATTAAACATTCATCACATCATCTGAAACGTGTGACGCTGTTCCAAAATCAACACAGACGGGTTTGCAATATTCATTGGACATTCTGTTCAAATTTTACCTCTGACACGACTTGTCATCCATCAGCAAAAAGAATCATTTTTAACATACTTGGTTTCTTTTGATTATAATTTTTCATAGCATTAATTTATATCTCTTTTCTTAATATTCATTTTTATAAAGAATTGTTCTTTTGATCAATATATTTATATTCTATAATATTTTATGATTTTTCAGCACATCTGGTTAGCTTCATTTTTACAATTAATTATAAAATAGTTTTAATTATTATTATTTTAAAATGTAAGATATAAATGTTAAAAATAGATGTGCAAATATTTTAAGCTTTTGAAGAATATAAGACATTTACCATTACATATATTTATAAAATACCTTTCATCATGTTGGATATCATCTTACGACATCATCCGGCAATTTATCGAACATCAACAGGAATAGACCGACCGAGGACGCTCTTTCTTTCTCTCTATCGGTTCTTTACTAAATATATTTACCAGAATTAATAATAAATGTATATAAGATACATAATTAAGTTTTAATAACGTTTTATATATTTTGTTTTTTTCCTTTTATTTCTTTATAAAAACATAAATTATTTACTATATTTTCTATTTGCAGTAAGTAAAGGAAGATGCAACTAGCGACAATTTTTATTCACATACAAATCTTGATTCAACGAAAATATGAATTTTCATAACATTACAAATGTATGATAACGCGTGCATAAAAAAAATAAATGTTAATAATTGACAAGACATCCGCGTAAAATTCGTCTTCGAAAAATCGCCGCACGCTAACGCCCTCTCGACAAACATTGCACGGTTATAATTTAATGCTGTAAGTCGATACTATAAGATTTTCTCTCTTGACAACAATATTATTTTATTTAAATTACATTTAAATAATATAGATATCTATTTTCGAGAAACATGAGCGCAAAAAATAAATAAGATTTTTTTAAATAATCGTAGCTGTGATATAGAGATTGAGAAACGTTCTTCAGTTGACGTATATTTAATCAAAATAATATTTGTTATATACAAAATCAAATCGCATTTTACTAGAATAAAAATAAAAAAGATTATGTTTTTCTATTTACGTCAAATATTTATCTACAATCCTCTAATTTTACCTCAGGAAGATTTTAACTCACTCTCTTTTCTTAATTCTACGTTCTACAATTTTTATTTTACAATACTTTCTGATAAATCTAATAATTTTAGTGTTGTTTTAAGTTTTTTGGTGAAAATTATTTGTTTCATTTTATGCTATTTTCTTCAAAACGAAGCAAAAACGAGCAAATCTCTAAAGGACTTTTTGTCTTAGTTCGGTCCCCTACACGTTCCTAAAGTTTTGACATTTAAATTGGGGACACCCTGTATATTTATATAAATATCTAGAGAGTTTATTAATATCTCGCGAAGATTTCAGTTTGATTCCACTTCTGGGAAGAAAGAGATACTTCGTACTTTCGCGCCAATGCTTCGCAAGAGTCCACGAGCCACCGCGAGATGGCAGCTGCGTCGAACAGCCGGCTGGCGTCCCGAGTGTCGTCGACTGCATCGAATACGCTCTCTGACGCTCTCCAGCTTTCTCGTGTGTCACCGTGTCGCGAGTGTGCGTGCGCCCGTCTCGTCTCAACGGGACCGTTTCGTCTCTATTCGAGGAAACAGAACCGAGATTCGAGTGTCGCGCGACGATATCGTGGAATCCGTGTTTCGGATCGTGCGCGCGTGAGATCGCAGAAAAGCGACTCGCGCGATCGAAAAGAGCGAGAGAATAACGGAAAAACGGTCAACGGCGACGTGTACGCTTTCCCGTGCGCGCGACGCTCGTGTGGATCCAATGTGTGTGTACGCGCGCGCGTGCGAGTGCGAGGAAACGAGACAGGCAAAAGTGGTGAATTGACGGGGTGGAGAGCGGAGGGCGAGAGACAGTGAGAGAAGAGGAAAAAGTGGGAAGCGTATCGCGCGCGCGGCACATCGTCGTCATCGGCGAGGAAACTGTCCGGAAGTCACCTCTGCTGGCGCGAATATCTATTGCAAAAGATAGACCAATAGAAAGAGAGAGCGAGAGAGAAAGAAAGAAAGAAAGAGAGAGAGAGAGAGTGAGAGAGATACGATCGCGGATGGGCGAGGTAACTCGATAGAAGAAGGGAGAGAAAGAAAAGTAGAGAGAGGAAGAGAGATGGACGGAAGGTAGTAAAAGAGAGAGGAGGAAGACAGTTGCATCGAGAAAGAAGAGGTGATCCGTCAACAGTGCACGAGTTTCGCGAAACGGAGAACGAGAGACCAAGTAGCGATCGAAGGAAAGAGAGAGAGAGAGAGAGAAACGAGAGGATTGCGTCGCAGACGAAGGAATGCGAGAAGCGACCGAGCAGTGCCGTGTAAACACGAGTCTGGAGTAAAAAAAAAAACGAGGCGGCCCACCAGCAACTACGATTCGATGTCATTGCCTTTTCCGTCACCTTCGTCGACATCGTCGAACGGCATCCTCGACGTTCCGACGTCGTAGAGAGAATAGAGACTCGTGACGGGAAGAAGAGAGTGCTGTCTGGTGTGGCATCGATCATCGTCATCGTCGCCGCCGCCGCCACCACGCGTATATGAATTCGCATCACAAATGACGGCGCACCGGATCGTGGGCGGATTAGCGAGGTGTTGGCTCGACTTATCGTCGTCATCTTGGTCAGTTTAGCGGACAAAGAGGTAAGTCGTTCTATTGTGTCACTCCTAGCTTTAATCATCTCTTTACAATCCCCTCGGTGCGTGGACTCTTCGGCAAAAATGGCTTCGGGCACGCATTCCTCGTCGAAATTATTATATTATTTTTAAGCGGTCGTCGCACCGATTACACGCGATAAGATAACTTTGACATATAAGATTGACATCAATAATGTTCCGTCAATGATAGCTTTTCAACAATCGTATCGTGATAATTGTTTGAGGAATTTCGATTGCAACTTATATTTTGTTTAAAATGCATTCAATTGTTAGAATAATAATTTGTTTATAAATGAAAAAATTCATTTTTTAATTGATTGCAATTGGTATATATCTTTCCATAATTTTTATCTCCTTTCAATAGATTAATATATATAACTGTTCCATTTTAATTGTAATTTAATTCATTGTAAAAAAAAAAAACAGTTTAAAGAGAAATTTATTATATGTGTATATATATTGATTAACTCTTGCTCCATTATTTATACGAAAATAGAGTATCGTTTTTATACATTTATGCTTATACTGGTTATGTCAGAAGTGGCACATTATCAATACTTCGATTTTCTATATTTTTGTATTAGAGTAGGCAAAGTGAAACAACTGATATTTCTCGACTAAAAGATATAGAGATTATCACATTGATGTATGCCATTGTATAATAATCTTGTCGGTAGTATCTTGGCAATATAAATATTTGCCAACAGATAATATATGGCAGTTATTAGTGTAGTTACCGCGCAATAATATATATCGATCCTGCAGGAGCCGCTCCGAGAATTTGTCCTCTCCGAGATATTTGGGTGGGTCCGATAAATTCACGGTATCTTGCACGATTGTCGACGATCTCGCGTGAGTTCAGATGAATAAACAACACGGGACAAAAAACGCAATGTAATTAATACGAGTTTAAACGAGTTCTTCGTCTCCTCCATCGAATTGTCTATATAGATATATATATATTTGTATCGCTTTATACTGTGTACATTGTTGAAAGATTGACGAGGAAACAATAAGTTTCCGTGGACCAATCAATTACCGCTTTACGGAAACTTGGTATTTCCGAAGTAGTTGTAGGTTGTCTCTCTCGCAAAGCTCTTTCCGATATTAATAATTATAATTCACAATAGAAAAAAAAAACGAAGTAGATTAATATTCATGTATGAATAAATGTTTCTAAATAGTGCAATGATAATTTTATATTGCATTTTTTTAATTTAATAAAATACAACGCTGATAAATATTTCATAATTTTGACTTTTCTAGAACAATAGATAAAATTGCACAACATAAACAATTTTTAAGAAAATCTTTATTATTAAAAAACAGAAAATTGCTCTCTATATTTTTCGTTTATATAATATAATAATTATATCCATCGAAATTATTAAAATAATGCTTAATAATACATTATTATATAATCCACTAGAATTATTAATAAATAAATGGATTCTACAAATATATAATTAATTCGGAATGGCTTTGTGATTCTAATAAAATAGAAAAGACTTTTGTATACAAATCTTTCATAAATTGCATTTCCGAGATTGTTTCGGAGATCATATTCTTATGCCTAAATAAATATCTGATATTTAAATAAGCCGCTAAAATTAAATGTTTGAAACAATAATATGGCTCTTTTGCGCAGAAATTGCGATCCAAGCAATTCCATTGCGAACAAAGTGGCATAATGACGATGCAGCAATTCTGAATTTAATAACGATGTTTTCCTGTGTTACACTGTATTTATCGCTATAATTTCGAAACGTAATGCTGCAGACATTGCGAAAATTAAATGCGTGATTAATTAAAACTTCTTAAAATTGAATAGGCGGGCACGCGATACTGAAGCTACATTTTTTTATATATTAAATAATTATATTGAATTTACATAAAAATATAGAAAATATAATAATTATTGATATTTGTTTCTACAGAAACAATTATAGGTACAATTATTACAATAATTTGCATATCGTAACAATGAAAAAAACAATATAATGCTACGCGGAAATGGAATTTTATCTGCCGCGAGTCTTTCCGCAAGTGTTACGTGTATAAAGACATAAATGCAGTCTACGATTATCGACACATGAACGATTACATATTTCATGACCTCAAGTTGCACGATAATTATTAGTATCATATATGATATATCTTCATTGTAAAGTCCAAAGTTTGCGTGCTTGTTTGTTACAATCAACGATTTGTCATTCATATCTATAATTTGAAATACGAATTATTTCCTGCTTTCGGAGAAAGTACTTAACCCAATTTAAGCGACATCCTATTAAGATTAACATAATTTTGCAAAAAGAAAACAAATAAAAATTCGTCAATTTAATGATGTTACTTTTAACTTGTTGTTACTCGATATTTTCTAACTTGGAGTATAATGCATCTCTCTCTCTCTCTCTCTCTCTCTCTCCCTCCCTCCCTCTCTCTCGATGCAATTTACTTCAACAAACTTTACCAAGATTATCCAACTTCGCCTGTTTGTAAGCTTATATGGGCCGAGGTTTTCAAAGTTTCTATAAGATGTATTTTCCAACAAGTGTTGCGTATTACCTTTAATGGAAAGGCACTTTACTTTACTAAAATTCTTGAAAATGTTAGACCACACCAAGACAAGTTGAAGAAATTCCAGACTAAATTGATATAAATAGTTAACTATTATATAATTGACCGTATCGCGGAGTTAATAAAGTTTTCCCGTCATCGGCCGCACGTAGAGATATTTCTCTCTCGTCGCAATAAAACGGAGGGAAATGTTAGCCAGATTGAAGTATTCTCAGGAACGAGAAAAAGTTGACCATTCCCAGAAACTGTCCAGCATTCCTCTGGGTCGACCCTAAGACACTTGAAAAAAATTCGGCGAAACCGCCCGTCGTTTTCTGGTCGCTAATTCTGTTCAAACTGTCTGGCTTTTCGAATAACATTTATTTTATTTGGCTTTTAATGGATGTCAGTACTTTCATAGAATTTCTCCCTGCGTGAATCTTTGACGAAATTAATCTTTTTTACGGAATTTTAGTAAAAGTATATCTATCCTCCATTTTATAAGAATGTTTTTAAAAAGAAAATAAAATAACACGTGTTATTTAGTCATCAAAATTTAGATTATAAATTTGTATCGAAGCAAGATGTATCTCCGAAATTAAATAAATAAATAATTAAATAAATAAATAAATATACATGCTGAGATTAAAAAGATAAGAAATAGTGGGACACTGTATATATTGCATTACATCCTTGAAATGCTCTGTGCCTATTCATATATTTCATTTGTGTTTAAGCATATGGCATATTATCAAAACTTTCGGCATATTATTATATTATCGATATAAATGATAAAACATTACTACTAAAATGCAAAAAAAAGTCTATTGTTACAAAATATATTATTTTTCTGTAATATCTCAATATGGCTAATAAAATTATGTCGCAACGTAAATGATAGTTGCATATAAATATTTATTTCAAGGAGTTTATAATAACGAAAAGAATATTATTATCAAATATTCTTTTCGTTATTAAGTATAGTGCTCATTTAAATTCTTTAATAAGAAGTTTATTTAAATTTATAGAAATTATAGGTACATATTTATTATATGTTTATGGATTACATAATTGTGTTTATGAATTTGATCACATTTAAAAGTTTTGCATCGCTCGTAGTTGGTCGGATAAATTTTTAACTTGTTTCTGAATGACATTATTTTCGCTCGCTTTGCCACCTACACATTCCATCCAACTTATTATTGTTTACTGTTGACAAGACGGCCAACGGTGTTTGCGAACGAAACGACTAGCGCTGTTCGGAAGCGGAGATCAATCTGCTTGTCGAGTGCATTATCTCAAATTACACAGATCCGGTCGCATCGAATAATCCGCTCGATGCCAACTCGATGCACTCGTAAAAATGACACTAGCGCGTGTTACGTTTCGTGAGCGAAGGAGCGAGAAGGGGAGAGGAAGAAAAACATTGATCGTCGAAAAGTATTAGCGTCTCTTTTCATAGCGTTTCCCGTCAATAAAGGAAGGATGTAACAAAGAGTTAAGAACAGTTCGCAGAGCAAGAGAACAAAAAATATCGTACCTGTTTCATGTGCAGAGATAAACAATAACAACAAATGTTTCCACCGCGACATTCGCCTCTTGTCTTTTTTATTTCTCTATTTTTCCTCTACCGTCGAGCACTGCGAAAAATCCGCGTACACAGTTAGATGCATCTAAAGAGATCATTTTCATCAAAGATCTTTGCGTAAGAAATTTCTATATTTCTAATAGATTATCGAAAGACAGTCTTTCTGCAATTGTTTTTATCAATATTGTTTAACGACATCAATATGTCGTCGAGCGAGTGAATCAGTGCGAATACGGATTAAGTTTATGGAACTGTCAGCAGTGCCTGTAAAAGAGTAGAATGTATTTCTTAAGGTTTCTATCAGACTTTAGAAACGTAATCTTCGATGGCTTTTATCACTGCGAAAGTTTAATTGGATGGCATTCCTAATTGGATTTTCTTCGCGGCTTCTGACTTTTTATTTTTTTTTTTTCAACATCACGTCGATATATATTTCTATTATACATTTAATAACTTTATTAAATACATTTAATACATATTCATTACATATAATAATACTTTTTTCAGAATCCTGGGAAAAGAGAAAATCTCTTATATCAAAAAATCTTTTATTATCTGTATCTTTAATATAATACAATTCTGCATTTCTTTCTACATGAGGGATCGATTTATTTATTGGCAACAATAATAATTCGCGATAAAGCGAAAATTACTCTCTCGATATTTTCCCGCATGATAAAAGTTCTTTTTTAAATATTTTTCTCTTTTTTAACCGAAGAATTGTACCACGATTAATTTCACCTTTGTTCGTGACTATTCGTACAGTTGATCTCTATACACTCCCGGCGCGGCAATGCAAACGCTCTAATCGGCCATAATTATCATCCTCGTGAGGATG